ACTTATCCAAGATCCTAATACAAATTCATGTTACATCTGAACACACAGTATTTGAAGTAGGGGTCTTAAATCTATGAGTTTTCTAGAAGTGTAGCTATCCTAGAGGCACTGGATACCCTTCTCTCCTTCCCTCAACAGGGTCTCACTCTGTAGTTCACCATGCCCCGGAACCCAGTACCAAAGATTTTCAATTGAAGACAGTATAGCAGTATCAATTATTTAAGATAAAATTCACAAGCTAGGTGGTGGTGGTGGTGGTGGTGGTGGTGCAGCCTTTAATCCCAGCACTTGGGAGGCGGAGGCAGAGGCAGGTGGATCTTAGTGAGTTTGAGGCCAGTCTGGTCTTCAGAGTTCCAGGACAGCCAGGGTTATGCAGAAAAAAACCTATCTTGATCCCCACCCCCAAAAAGATTCACGTATCATAACATTCACACTTTTGTTTTGTTTTGTTTTTTGAGACAGGGTTTCTCTGTGTAGTTTTGGTGCCTATCCTGGATCTCGCTCTGTAGACCAGGCTGGCCTCGAACTCACAGAGACCCACCTGGCTCTGCCTCCTGAGTCCTGGGGTTAAAAGCATGCACCACCGCTGCCCGGCACATTCACACTTTTAAAATGTACCATTCTGTGTTTGTTTTTTCTTTCTTTCTTTGTTCTTTGATTATTTGCTGTTGTTGACAGGGTCTCACTCTGCAGTCAGGGTGACCTCACATTTGTGTCTATCTATCTTTTACCTCAGCCTCTCACTGCTGGGAGCACAGATGTGAGCCACCACAGCTGGCATGTAGTGGTGCTAATATATCCCCAAACTCATGCCAACCATCACTTGTCTATTTCTAGAACAAGCAAGAGTAAAGACGGGATTCCAGCAAGCTGAGGAGCTTCTGCCCAGCACAGGGGCCACCAGGTAATTAGACACTTACATTAATTACAGAAGGAAGTAAATTTTTTTGGAGGCAATGGGGACTGATCCAGGACCTCACACAGGCTAGCCAAGTATTCTAACACCATGTTGTATGCCCAGCCTTCTTTTTACCTCTTATTTTGAAACAAGGTCTAAGTTGTCCAGGCTAGCTTTGAACCTATGATTTTTCTACTTCTTCCCAAGGAGATGGGATCACAAGTCTAACACCAGGCTGCCAAGACAACTAAAACTTATTGACAATCAAGTGTATTGGGTATAACTTTAAACCTCCTCTAGATAATGTTCCTATGGGAATCGGTATGAAGACTATTTTAGTTAAACAATGACACAAGTACAGGACTTTTTTTCTTTGAAACAGGATCTTAGTATTTAACCCAGGCTGGCTTCATACTTCTAATCCACCTGCCTCAGCAGTGCTGAGACTACAGGCATGTCCCACCACAACTGGCTTCCTTCAGTTACAGTTCTTTGTTTCGTTGGTTTGGTTTTTGAAAGAGGGTCTTACATAGCCCAGGCTAGCTTTGTACTCCCCCGGAAGCCAAGGCTGACCAAATTTCTTGTCGTCCTGCCTCTATTTCCCAAGTGTTGGGATTACAGGAACATGCCACCATGAATGGTTTTATGTGGTGCTAGGGATCAAACCCAGCATTTCATGTATGCTATACTCTACCAAATCTTCAATTACAGTTCTTAGTCACTAAAGAGATACATATCATAAAGCTCATTTATAGATCAGGTGGGCACATGAACTATGTAGTTCAAAAGCAGGTCAAAGTTTATAGTAGAAACTTTAGATGGTTCAGTGAATTAGTAATTACAAGTGTGTAAGAGTCAGTATGCATGCTTAGATTATTCATGATTACATGATGTTGTCAGCATTAGCTGTCAAAATGAGAGATCATTTTATACTACAAAGACTCTGCTCCAAATGTAGGATTATTTAAAGCATGAGTAGTTTTTCAGGGATGTAGCCATACTGGGATAGTGGTGCTGGAGTTCTAAGAAAGATAGTAACAATGCACCAAGCTAACCCTGAAAAAGAGAAAGTATCAAACCATGGTTGTCTCAATTAGACTTAGTTAGAGACATGGACCCTTCAGAGGGTTGAAATAAATGAAAGATTAGATAAAAGCCTGCCTTCTCTATTAGGTTAGCTAGGAAAATCAGAGATAGAAATATGTATATAAAGAGAATGCACACAATTTAGCCAGAATGTAAGTCTACAATGATTGAAGCAGAAATTAAAAGTGATGTCTGTTTCTCTCTCTCTTTTTGGTTTTTCCAAACAGGGTTTCTCTGTGTAACAGCTCTGGCTGTCCTAGAACCAGGCTGGCTTTGAATTCACAGAGATCTGCCTGCCTCTGCCTCCCAAGTGCTGGGATTAAAGGTGTGCGCCACCACTGCCCGGCTGCCTCTTATTTTCTTAATGAAAAATGAAACATCAGATATGAAATCATAGGAAATTTGTAATAGCTATTAAGGTGAATGAAGAGCATGTGTAACAGAACTGTGAAATATTTATGTCTGGAACTCATTTCCTGAATGAGTACTAGTCCATGCAACTGTACAGATTTCTCAAGCAGGATTCATCCCAAGTCTAGGACTAACAAGTGTCAATGATGGATTAAAAAAAGGACACTAAGATTAAAAGGAGCTGGCAAGGGAATGTTTGGAACTGGTGACTTGTGTGTGTGTAGCAGGGGTGCACACACGGACAAGAATGTGTGGAGGTCAGAGGACACTTTTCCTTTGGAATGTGTTCTCATCTACTACTATGTGGGTCCCAAGAATTGAATTAGGCTGCCAGGCTTGGGGGCAAGCACCTTTACCTATTGAGGCAGTTCAGGGACCCCCCTTTTCTTTCCTTTCTTTCTTCTTTTCTTTCCTTCTTTCTTTCCTTCCCCCCTTCCTTTCTTCCTTCCTTTTTCTGCAATGTTAGGGTAAACTCTAGAGCAATGGTCCTCAACCTTCCTAATGCTCTGACCCTTTAATATAGTTCCTCATGTTATGGTGAGCCCCCACATGCACCATAAAATTATTTCATTTCTACTTCATTACTGCAAATTTCCTAGTGTTATGAATCATAATGTAAATATCTGATATGCAACCCCTGTGCAAGGGTCATCCAACCCCCAAAGGTTGACAACCACCACTCTAGAGCCTCCTGCATATGTATTAGTAAGGACTCTCCACTGGTGAGACTCACCCCTGCATCTGCTGTTTGATCTTGCTAAGTTGCCTAGGCTGTTCTTGGACATGATCATGATCCTCCTGCCTCAACCTTCCCAGTAGCTGGGATTCTAGGTATGTACCTGCAAACCTAGTTCCCTCTTCAAACACTTTTCAAGGTACATAGTGTATGCAGATTTCAATGAATCAAGCATTCAAATTCTAAAAAGAAGCATAGGGGAACAGAGAAGCTAAGACCAGAAGAAGTTCAATACAACAGATGTTTGGTAGCTGTCTGCCAGGTAGAATTAGGAATCTTCACAATTTCTAGGTTGTAAAATAAGCAAATATTCCATGTATCAGACTCAAGAAAAGTTAACGCTTCTACCAGAATGGGTAATATACTATAACCTTTACCTATAAAGTTGTCGATTAAAATGGATTCACAGCCCGGTGGGTGGTGCATGCCTTTATCTCTAGCACTTGGGAGGTAGAGGCCAGGTTGGTCTACAGAGACCCTGTCTCAATAATTACATAAATAAATAAAATCAAATTGCTTTTGTCAGTGCCTAACAAGGATGTGAGAGACCAGCTCCCACATTTACCCCAGGGACTTTTGAGGAATGAGGGATAAGAGATTTAGATAGAAATAAAGAGGGGAGAGAAAGAGAGAAACACAGGATAGCCTTGGATGGACCTAGATCCTTATCCTCCGGCCCAGAGCTTTATTCCAAAGAGCTATTTATAACACTGCCAAGGGGAGGGGCAAAGGACCTCCCCCTTGCTAGTTACAGCCAAGTGTAGACCCTTCCAAACACCTGGTACTCAGGCCCGTGATCAAATAATCATTCTCTTATGCAGTCCTGCTGGGTACAGCCACTAGGAAGCCTAGATGGACTCCGACAGAAGGAATACAGCTAGGAGGTTATAAAAAGAGGATCTCGTGACTATGATTAGAGACTGTCAGAATGAAAAGCACACACAGAAGGTGACTTCTGCCAGTGCAGCTGCTCAGTAAGTGCCCGCCCAAGCCTGAACTGAGATCACACTTGTTACTCAGCCTGGTAGCCAAGGATTAGGGTTCCGATCAGTTCATGTACCCTCCTCACTGAGCCTTTAAAAATCATTCCTTGGCCCAGCATGGTGGCCCACACTTGTAGTTCCAGCATGCAGGAAGTTGACCAGCACTCAGGAGGAAGAGGCAGGAGGACTGGAAGGCCTTGCAGTGATTGTCCTGCCTCAGTTTCCTGGGTGCTAGGCTTAAAGACATCCTCAACCACAGCTGACTCAACATCCTTTAATATATCATTTACGAAGGTATGCATAGCTCCAAAGTCATGTTCACTCCCAAATAAGCTCATCCATCTTTGGACAATCAGTTACTTTGGTGGACATATTTATTGTTGTTCTGAACATTAAAAGGAAGCTGTAACTGTAACTTTTAAAGATGAGAAATTGAAGATCAATCAGAGAAGATGTGGTTGAATTCTAAAAAAGCTAACAGCCATTATAAAAAGCTGCTCAATCTCATTTAAAAACACATACACCAGTGACAAGTGGGAAAAAGAGAGACCAGTGAAAACTGCAGATTTCCACGTTTCCTACTTATGTCCTACACCTCCACGAGGTCATTAATCTCATGTTCTAATCTCTTGTCACCACAATCAGAATCCTCTAAAAGGTGTTTCAGTCTGTCCCTTCTCTGCATCCTCACAAACCAATAAGCTCAGGGCTTGACATTGCTCATCATCAGTCTCACAGACAACCTTAAAAGGCACAGGAAAATCAGTGTATCCATAAAAACCTCTTCTTGGGCAGTCTAATTAGGCTGCTTCACCAAGCGTGTTTTATCAGGCCTCTTGCTCCAGATAACCTGAGCCGTGCTCCATGTAATAATCTACTCCACCGTTTTTGTTTTCATTTTTCAACCTAAAAAAAAATCCTTTCCTAAAATTTTTGACCCACCATGGCGTAATTTTTTTCTTTCACTTCCAACCTCAATTACCCGCTTCTCCTAATCACCATGTATTGGTGCCTCTCTTCCCCCGCTTACCAAAAGTGCTAAAGAACCAGACATTTGCTGGGCAGTGCTGGTACACACCTTTAATTCCAGCACTGTGGCAAAGCCTCAAAAGAGAGCTCTCAAAATCAAACAACTTCTCCCTGCTTCTAGCTGGCCCTGACAGGCTATAATAAAGTCTGTCAGGTTGTCCGTGGTGAGGGAAGAGAGGTACAGCTGCTCCACACTGTCACTCTCAGGAGTCCTTTCATCTTTTAGAGAGCTCAACTCAAGCAAAACTGGGATTGGGAGTTTCAACACAGAAAGAGAATTTCTTTTTTCTTTTTTTTTTTTTTCAGAGCTGAGGACCGAACTCAGGGCTCTACCACTGAGCTAAATCCCCAACCCTGAAAGAGAATTTCATAAGCAGTTGGGAGATGTTATTAAATACTTTTAAGCTCAAGGGTTAGGAGAGAAAGAGACTCAGACAGACAAGACAGATCCAATGTCTCCCCCTAAGACATGACCAAGTATGGGTATGTGTTCAGGAAAGGGTCTCAGAAGGCAAGACATTGCCAAGCACAGATCTGGGTTCCTTAAGGGAGGATCACAACTGTCTTAGCCTCAGCCACATAGATCATTTTGGTGGTTCTCTAGTTATATCTTAAAAGGGTGGCTGCTAAGAAACATTTTTTTTCACTCTCCTCCTCTTTCTCTCTTTGGACAGGAGGTGTCTTGGATGGAATTATAATCTGGTAATAAGAGAACAGAAGCCTTGTGGGTGGTGGCGCATGCCTTTAATCTCAGCACTAGGGAGGCAGAGGCAGGTGGATCTCTGTGAGTTGGAGGCTAGTCTTGTCTACAAAGTGAGTTCCAGGACAGCCAGAGCTACACAAACAAACAAACCAATCAGAAGCCACTAGGGTTGTACAAGGGGCATAGGACATGGTCCTTCACCTCTTGCGGGCCGCAGAAATATATCATAAGAACTCAGCTGGTTATGGCAAAG